TGTGTGCCAGTCCCAGGGTTGGGCTTTCGTCGCGGCTCGTATCGCTGTGTGTGTCGGCGAGGCTTCTATTTTCCCAATACAACTGCTGAAAACCGCTACTACAATGGAAGTGTGATTGAAGAGGAATACGAGAAACATTTACAGGTACTAACGATATTTAAGGCCTTGCTAGCGCTCGCATATACGTTCATTAGTCATTGCTTTGAAATAATTCATAAAGCGTAATTGATAGTGTTTGCTGCCCGCGAATTTATATTTTAATTGATTTGCTATTATATATTTGGGTGACATTTCTTTAATAAATTGTCTAAGTGTCTTCACTTACATATCATTGAACAGCCATAGCCTAATTTCAGCTATGAGTAATTTACGTCTAACCTCATTCAGTAAGTAAAGAATATTAAACATGTGAACTGTCAAATAACACTTATTCCATTCCCATTCAGTCTCCATTAAGGGGAGGAAAGCCTGTTCTTGTATTCTGTTTCTTGTCATATATATATAGTTCAAAAGGATTTTGTATACCTAAAAAACAATCTGAAACAGACATACAAAGTATGTACCCAATTATTATGTGATAATGAAATCAGAATTAAATTTAAATATTTTACCAAAATTGAATCATTTCAAAATGAAATTTGATTAAAATATAAACACTCAATCCAAATGATAAATCTTTTTATTAATATCGAGGTCAATTATAAGCATTGTTATTTGATTTTTGCATTGTTTATGCATTGAAACTCTACCAATGACTATTTTATTTTTGTTGTTGTAAAGAAATATACATAATATCTAATAAAAACAAGACAAGTACGAAGGATAAGGTATATCATTTTTCGATGTAGGAAAAAACTCAAGTTAGTTTAACTTATCTTTCTTTATACGATATTTCATTAATAATGCGCGCTGCTTTGTCATTCATACAAAAGGAGATTCTTAGTGAAAAACAAGTACAACCTATAAGGTCTGGGCCTCAAACAAATACAAAAATATCTGTCGTGATTCTTTGTTTTTTTTTAATCCAGTTGGTGATCAGCCTTTGGTGCCTGACATACGCCATCTTTGGGTCTCAGCCAAGCCAGTCTCTTCATGATGTTTACCTTCACCATACGAGCGAGTGTTAAATTCGCACAGACAGAGTGTCAATTGGTACACTGTCGGAGTTTAAACCTCAGGGGCGAGAGTCGCACGCTGAAGCCACTAGACTAACATTCTTCCGAAGTTCTTAGTGTAAAGTATATTGAATAGGAATAGCACAATTTCGAATAAAAGCAATATGAAGGAGACCTATAAGTTTTAAGATGTGATGAGACACATGATGTAATGTTTACTAACATGTTAGAAATATTTTGTATAACAAAAACATATCAACTAAAAGAGTGTCGGATAGTGGATGTCAAATCATCCCGTCCTGCCTTAACTGTAAATTTAGATGCATTTATTGAAGGTATACTTCTTTAGGCGCGTGAAAAATTTATGCGAGTGAAATTATACGATGCGCGCGCACCGTGACACAAAATTAACAGAATGAAGTTGCCCACTATCGAATTCTTTTTAAACTAGCCGGGCGCCGAGCGTGCGCGAGCGAGATGGGAATAAGACAATCTACAAGTAAAAAAAAATAGAATATGCGTGAAGTTAGCAGCTGTGCCAATAATTTTGAATGACCATAATGACCTTTGTAGTTGTACTTTAAAACAAATAAAGGAGTTTTAATTATTTTTTCAAAGAAATTTAGCAATGCTTTTTCACCAAGACCTATTGTTACTTAGTTAAAAGGTTATGAAACATACCTAGTTATTAAATTGTATGAATAATATAATAAAATAATAAATAATTATTATTATTAATATTAATTAATAATTGAATAATATACTAAATATTATTCAATTATTATTAACGTTAAATATTTATTATTAATTATTTAATATTTAAAAAAAAATAAAGAAAGCCAAAGAAGTATAACTTCTTAAGCGCGTACATAAGTACACGCACCCTTTTTATCTTTTGATTTGAATTGAGAAATGGACCCGAAGATGAAAGCGATACTAATATCAATTTTGTTAATGCTAAAATCACTATGAAGACAATGCTTGCTCTAGTTCTGGGAAGAGCATTCATAGCTTTAAATGGCTAGTTAAATGTCCAAGTCCTGACCACATTCCAATTTAGTATGTAATGTACAACAGAGATACGTGAGACTGCTCATTACAATGCTAGAGAGCTAAAAACAGCCATTGCACAAGAGAAAATACGCAAACATATTCTGGGGAAAATCCTTTTTTTGCTTGTAAACATGTCACTTATTTTTAAGATTCAATATTCTTACCTTGTAGCGCATGTTGCAAATCGAATAATTTGAACCGAATCATAAAATTTACATAAAATAATAGTATTTAAGCTACAACAAAATTTGGAATAAGGAATAAAAATATCGATCTTCCAATCTTATATCCAAGTTCAGCGGAAACACATAATATCGAACAACAATCAATATAAAACAAAAAAAATAAAAATTTTTTTTTTTTTTTTTTTTTTTTTTTCCTGTTCAGCATGTCACTTTTCACCCCCACAAAAAACAAAAAATGTTTAAGATTCAATATTTACTATGCATAGACTGACTAAAATAAAATGTTGCAAAGTCGAATAATTTGAACCGAATCATAAAATAGGCATTTACATAAAATCAATAGTATGTTTAAAGCATACAAACAAAATTTTTTGGAATAAGTAATTAAAAATATCGATCTTCCAATCTAGTTTTTAGTTTTTATATGCCGTTCCCTTTTTTTTTTTTTTTTTTTTTTTTTTTCAAGGTTCTAGCGGTAAGTTCATATAAATGAACAACAATAATCAAATATAATATTTTAATAAAATAATAAGTTTAATATAATGTTATATATTATATAATATTTATTTATTTATTTATATTTATTGTTTGTACAAACCAAAGTGTATAAATTTCAGTTAATCGTTACAGGAAGAGGGTTTTGAATTACTAAATTGTAAAAGGTTTAAACCATTTAACAAACCTCGATCGAACTTCGGGCATTCATATCCGGGCGTAGCACATGCTACGAGTGAGCTACGATCTGTACTACCTCTACATTGCCACGTAGCTCGTAGATATAATCGTAACACGAGACAATTGAAAGCATTTGGCTGGACGCCAAGTGGTCGCAGTCTTGTGGCTTAAATGGCCTTATTTTTAAGCGATACTTTTGTTTACTGCTCCTCTTATTGAATGGGGTTTTTAGTTTAACAGTTAACATTTAAAAAGCCATTTTGTCATTCTCATTGGCTTGGCCGTAAAATAAATTTAAGTCATTGTATAAACATCTATTGATGAGTTTGACAACAGTAGTGAACCATGGCAATACGTTTGCACTAAATACTTAAATGGATAATGTTATATATTTGTTAACTAAATAAAACGTTTTCGCTCAATTCTCAATGTGAAATTACGTCAATCTTAAATATAAGAGAAATATCACGTAATTGCAGCGCCACTGTAAATTATTAAGAACATAATATTAGTATTTAACTGGTGCCCAAGGTAAAATAAACTCAAAGTAGGAAGACAATGTAGGTGGTGGATAGAGCAGATCAAGGAAACAGTCCCTGGTACACGGCTGAGAGTGGTACATAGAGAGATCTGCGCTGATTGTCAACTACCAATAGCGATAGCGAACTCGACGCTTTTGCAACTAATATCAATATAGTTTTTCAATATTCGTGGCGTTAGTGTCTCAATCTTAGGATGTCGCGTAAAACGCAATATTATTGTCGACACCACTAGTCGGAGTTACACATAATCTTGTTGGCGCAAGACCCTGACGTCCTCATCGTCGCCGGGGTTTTCCAACACCAACTTCTTCATTTAGGGCTACAATTGAATTTCATATCCTTTGTCCCTGAGATTAGAACTCTTTAAACATTAGGCAAGTAGTTCTAACCACTGGTCTAACGAGGCTGGTTAAAAATTTAATATCATTAAAGTATTTAAAGAAAAAACTTTTTAACCGGATTAAAGTTATGTATTATTATAAATTTACAATTATTTAACATAATTTTAAATTTATCCGACGTTTCGCGTGCTTTACAGCGTGCGTGGTCACGGTGACTGAAGACAAAAGGTGTTGGATGTCAAAAAGTATCACAGCTTAACTTTAATCCGGTTAAAAAGTTTTTTCTTTAAATGTGTAAAAGTTATGTCAATCAAAGACAATACTATCATTAAAGTAATAGAGTAAAATGTAGTTGGTTGTTAAAATTTAAAGTAATTTTCAGTTGTTGTCAACAGTGAGTTGTAAAGTGTTCTTATAAAACTGAATCGATTATTAAGCGAACAGATTTAATTTAAAACTTCGTAACTTTTAATGAAACTAATCGTTTTTCAATTATATAAAAACGGCTTAAAAGTGGTTTTCCAAATAATTAGATTTAATTGGCTAGTGCGTTATTAAGTGTGTTTACAACTTTGAGAATTTATGGAGTAGTAAGGAAACCGTCATGACTTGCGCTTCACCAATTTGTTTATAAATAAACTGAAAGACATGCACAGACATGGTTAAGTCATGTAAAGGGTTGGGTAAGGGCGAGGCCCCACTGCTGCGTTGCGTCGTCGTTTAATCTTACTCAAAGACAAGATTGTCACTTGATATGTGGTTTCGAATATGAGCTTTTCAGTCTTTAACCATTTGTATAAACGCGTGACATTTAAAATGAAAGAAAGGTTTATTTTAATTAACCTTACCATAACTTTTTTTTTAAGAAATTAAGGATAGTGTTGTAAACACCCATAGCCAATATCACATTACAATAATTTATTTGTAATAGCTCTTAACTACACACATAATTAATCATAATATAGTAGGTACTAAAATTTATATCCGGCCATGTATAGCCGACATGGACGAATCTGTCTAAATCTTTTTCAATTTTAATTTACTTTTACCGACTTATTATTTGTTATTTGATTCGCAGCAGTATCAGAGCCTCTACGGTCATCAGTCAGCTTTTCATTGCGTGCCTTGCGCTGAAGGCTGTGAGGCCTGTGTCGACGGTTCACCATGTGTGGCGGCCCTTAACTGGGTTGCTAGGACAACGATTTTCACACTCGCCTGCCTGGTGATATCCTGTCTACCTTTTATTGTCTGGTTCACGATTAAGTACGGACATGTTCGGGTGAGTAGTAATTGCAATGGATTTATAATGTTAAACATAGTATTTTTTTACCTTAAATTTGATAAAAAAACGTTATTCAAATTCCAATAATATGATACAACTATCTCCTAACTTAAAACCCAACCTGTTTATGTCTTAAAGTACTACATGTAAAACCATAGACAACACGAATGAAAAATGGGGCCTTTAACTTCATTCTGATTAGTCAACATCTTTAGTCTAATAACAGACACGAACTATTTTTAAGTCTTTTCTTTGACTGAAATTTTTACTGTTACCTAGCCTAAAGCTAATAAACAGTTATAGTCCAAAATAAAATTCTAATGTCTGTTACTTAATTTATAGTCCATTGGTCGAAACGAAAACAATGAAAGGAAACGCGCCATAATTTCGTTTCATATTCAATCACTAATTTGTAATCGAATTTGTTTACCAAATTAATAATTCAACAGGTAGTCAGAGCAGCCAGCCCAGCCCTGCTCAGGGTGATCGTATTGGGAGCTCTGTTAATCTATTGTACGACGTTGGTGATGTATGGAAGACCCACGCTTTTCACTTGCACTGCCAGGGTCTGGCTTCGGGAGGTTGGCTTCTGTCTGACATATGGCGCCTTGATGTTGAAGACTTGGAGGTAATTTTTAAATATATATATTTAATTACGCTAACTAATAATCCGAAACTAGTTTGAAGTACGGTAACAACCTAAAAACACTTTTCATTTATACTTTAAAAATATTTTGTAAAACTGTATTAAATACCAAATTATAAACTGGTTTGACGGTTAACGAATTCAAAAATATTTAAACTGTCTCAACTTTTGGATATCTTGCATAGCGTGTATTCCGGCAGCTGTATCAACATAATTCATTTAAATTTATTTGTTGCATTGCCCACATTTTAAAAACAAATATTCATAATAAAACATAAAGAGGATATGTTAACCAATAATGTGGTCCCCTGTTAATGTGTCCTTCATCTCTCTGATGTGACGATGTATATCTATTTTACGCACCACCTTCTTTGGTGTCTTTGTTTGTCTTGTGAAGTAAACATTATGTAATAGGATATGTTCCCTCTTGTCCTCATCTATTCCATTTCTGGTTTAAGCCACGATGTAATAGGTTGGGGAAAAAGTTTCTTCGCATTTTTCAAGAAAATTCACAACATTTTTTAATATAGTTTATTTACATTTAACTAAAGTATGTAGGTACCATTTTGTTCGCTAACTCTTCGCCATCTTGTAGGTAGGGATATGATCCCATTGCTATAGAAATTTTGGGGCTTCTTATCAAAATACCGCGACAATTGGTTTTGGCAGTCCTCTCGTTATGTTAACCTGATACTGCCTAAAGAATTCTGAAAAGACCAAAACAGGTGGAAATCTGAAGGTGCAAGGTCAGGTCTATACGTCGGATGCATTAACACCTCCCAGCCAAGCTCACTTAATTTTTACTGAGTGGCTAAAGATGTGTGAGGTCTAGTGTTATCTTGATGAAAAACCACAACCCTTCTGTTGATTAATTCCGGCAGCTTTCTCTCAACTCCTTGCTTTAATCTCATCACTGAACTCTATTGCGAAACATAGAGTTCAGAATCGATGGTTAAAAAAAAAAATTAAAAAGCTTAAACCAAATTTGTGCTACTCTCACAGACACTGCACTAGGTCCATAAACATCGCAAATTTTTTTCGTGGCTTGCTTTGCATTTTTACCTTTTTTGTAGTAAAATTTTAAAATGTATCGAATTTCTTCATTAGATTCACTTTTTTTTTTATAGAACGGGGGGCAAACGGGCAGGAGGCTCACCTGATGTTAAGTGATACCGCCGCCCATGGACACTCTCAATGCCAGAGGGCTCGCGAGTGCGTTGCCGGCCTTTTAAGAATTGGTACGCTCTTTTCTTGAAGGACCCTAAGTCGAATTGGTTCGGAAATACTTCAGTGGGCAGCTGATTCCACATAGTGGTGGTGCGCGGCAAAAACTGCCTTGAAAACCGCTCAGTTGTGGAACGGTGGACGTCGAGGTGATACGGGTGGAATTTCGTATTCTGTCTCGACGTCCGATGATGAAACTCAGCTGCAGGTATTAATCCGAATAACTCCTCTGAACACTCTCCATGGTAAATTCGGTAGAAGATGCAGAGTGACCTCACATCTCTACGCAACGCCAAAGGATCAAGCCGCTCGGAGAGGGATTGGTCGTCGACGATTCGAACCGCTCTGCGTTGTATACGGTCAAGTGGAAAGAGGTACTCGGGAGCCCCCGCCCAGAGGTGAGAGCAGTACTCCATGTGGGGCCGAATTTGCGCTTTATATAGGTGCATGCGGTGGCCCGGAGTGAAGTACCGCCTCGCCTTGCTGAGCACACCAAGCTTTTTGGAGGCTAATTTAGCCTTTCCCTCCAAGTGACCGCGAAACTGAACGTCGTTCGATATGTCAACGCCAAGTATTCCAATGCTGGCTGTGGCTTTAAGAAGAGTGTTTTCGAAAAGAGGAGTAGCGACAAAGGGTGTTTTTTAGCGGAAAACGCGCAAACTTGTGTCTTCTTGGGGTTAAATTGGACTAGGTTTTGTCTGCCCCAGTCTGAGACTCCACGTAGTAGAGTTTCGACTTCAGACACAAGTTTGTACCGGTACTTATCAACAACTGCCCGAGAAATACCTGCCCGGCCAGTGTAAAAAGTATCCCCAGTGCTGTCATCCGCATAGCAATGAATGTTGCTAAGTTGCAACATATCATTGATATGCAAAATAAATAGGGTCGGGGATAGAACACAGCCTTGTGGGACCCCAGCGTTCACAGGTTTAAGGTCGGAACATGCTCCGTCGATGACGACCTTGATGCTCCGATCGGCCAGAAAGCTGGAGATCCAATCGCATAATTTCTCGGGAAGCCCATAGGCTGGAAGCTTCGAGAGCAGTGCTCTGTGCCACACCCGATCGAAGGCTTTCGCTATGTCCAAACTTACCGCCAGCGCCTCCCCCTTGGACTCAATTGCCTCTGCCCACCTATGGGTTAGGTATACAAGGAGGTCACCAGCTGAGCGACCACGACGAAAGCCGTACTGAGAATCGCTAATCAACTGGTGGCCCTCTAGATACCACAAGAGCTGGCAATTAATAATGGTTTCCATTATTTTGGAAAACAAGGAGGTTATAGCTATTGGGCGATAGTTGGACGGATCAGAGCGATCGCCTTTTTTAGGGATCGGATGTATCGAAGCGGTCTTCCAGCACTTTGGGACAGTGCCGAGCGAGTACAGGTACCGGAAAAGGCGCGTTAAGACCGGAGCCAACTCAGGAGCACAAGTACGCAGCACAATTGGGGGGATACCATCCGGCCCGCTCGACTTATGAATGTCCAAGGAAGATAGTGCTTTGCGGACAGCACGTTGCCGGAATGTGATTTCCGGCATCGAATAATCACACCGCGAAATGGTCGGTGGTGATCTTCCTTGGTCATCCAAAGTCGAGTTGGACACGAAGAGACAGCCCAAAAGGTCAGCCTTCTCCTTCGCGGTGTGGGCCAGAGAGTCATCCTCCCTGTGCAGTGGTGGAATGGCGGGCTGACAAAAATTCCCTAATTCACTTATCTTGACGGTACGAAAAATAAATAAAAATCACACATTATCCTAATATGAATTTGGAATTATCTTCTTTAAAATCTCAACATTCAATGATAACAAAAACAGGCAAATACATATAGTATAGCCAAAGAGGTTTTATTACAAGTTCATACATAGTATAATGCGAAAAGACTTTTTCCCCAACCTAATATTAGAAAAATATGAAAACGTTACGACACAATTGTTTGTTATTTGAACATTGTTGTGAATCAAATTATGTGTATCTGAATAAAAAATGGAGTATAACCTTATATTTTCTAGACAATAACAATCTAAATTACAAAAAAAATTATATACCCATTTCACGGGTTTCTGATGTTTTATCTGATTTAAATATATTTATATTACTGAAAGCAAGTCCGGAATAGGAGGAGGAAGTCCGTGCAAGAAACAATTACACTAAAACTAATATTCTATTGCGTCTAAGTTCTCGTGTACTTGACATGGTTTAAGTTATTCCTTGAATTTGCTTGTGGTTAGGCAATTTTGTAGCAATTTATTCATACAACGTCGGAATTTAATATATTGCATAAAAATCTGTCGACATTATAAAGTATCCTCAGGAAACCGGCAAGTTCTTATTGAACTCTAACAAGATTTTTTACATTCAGTTGCCCAAATATTCGAGGTAATAACGTTTTTGTTTAATTAATATGATTACTTTCTATATTTGTCGCTTTGGTGACTTTGTAGACCTTCAAACATTTACAGGATCCTATTGGAGTTTATTATTTACTTAGGGATTAAATATTCATTTGTTTTTATCAAAATTAAAACACTTATTCGTTTTCAATCTAATTATGTCTAAATTACCGTAAATAATATTTATGAAGCTTTAGCTAACGATAGACGGAAACGGCAAGGATTTTTAATGTACACACTCTTAAGGCACTAGGTCAATACTGTTTTCTATTAATTATAAGTCAAGTAACTAAGCAATTTTAAGTAATAATAAATATAATTAATCTCTCAGACATTTGAATGGATGACAGAAATCCATTTAAAATAAAGAAAGCAATTTGAATTTAACAAATAGCTATACAGAATTAGACATCTTGTCAAGGTGGTTTAAATTTTGTTTTTTTTTTAACCTCTCTCGAAAATACTTTTTAATGGGTGGTTTATGAAAGACGTACTGGCCGATTATTATAACTTTTACGCTACTATTGAAGACATACATCAAGATTGACATCAAGAGAGTCGTGTGAAAAGTTTCATACAAGTATGGCTCTTGAGGAAAACATGAACTGAGTAAATTCAAACAAACAAGTGGCTTATTGCTGGAAAGGAGATTGCCATGAAGCAGATACAACAAAAAAAAAACTATTGAAGATAGTTTAAAGAACGATTATTAGTACGTCTTTTAATATTTTCTGTAACGTGCCGTTTTTCTAAAATAACTTAAGTAATTTAAATTACTAGAATATAAGTCTTACGAAACGTTCCAGCTAAAGTACAAATTCATGAAGTAGTTCTTTACTACACTTAATCTAATAAAACTTCAAACCACGGGTCAAACTAATTGAATAATAAAAGGGCTGGAGAAAGGTCTCTACGTTCTATATTAATAAATAAAACACTGGGACTTCTTTAGAAAACAGGCATTTGTTTATTTACACAGGCTCGGCTGCTTTAGGCAGATAAAGAGAGTATTCCGGAATTATGTCAGGAAGTTGAATTAAATATATAAAGAAAAGTCGCTATGTTATACAACTGAGAGTCCAAGAGTAACATTATCGGTCGACCGTAAGGATAAGCTTCTATATATACAGATGGATCAAATAATTATTTTTATTTTATCTAACTACATACACACCTTGGGCATCTTAGCAGGATTTCAAGTGAAACTAAATCGGCTCATTGGTGCAGTGGCTTGGGATTAATGACTTTTGCATTAAATTCGTATCCCGACAGTGCATCCGTGCTGATGGCGCTCGGAAACAAAAAAACCATCAGCAAACATACCGGAGTGTCATGATGCACTGGAGGTCTAACCTGAACCAATAGG